CTCAGATTTATTTACAAAGTTTGAATACATTGTTTTTCACAAAAGATTCTTCCCATTTTCTTCACCCTACTCACCAATCAAATTGTGCAATCCTATGATTAACACCCTTCCCCCACCCTCGCCCCCTTGGAACCTCATACTCATTCTACAATAAGTTTTATACAGTATTTGTCCTGTGGGACTGAGTTAGTTCACTCAGCATAATGCTCTCCAGTCCCTACCAAATTACAAAATTTACAAAATGATTGTTCCTGCCATAATATTCATTGTATGAATGTACCACAACTTCTCAATCCATTCGTTTGTGGTTGGACATCTGGGCTGTTTCCATGTTCTTGTGATGGTGAATAATGCTGCTATGAATACTGATGTACAAATTTGTTTAAGTTTTTCTTATTTTCTTGGGGTGCATTCCAAGCAATGGAATAGCTGTGTCATATGGAATTTCTACGTTGAGCTTAAATTCTACAAAAGATAAATGCAAGATATCCAAAGTAAAAATAAAGCACAGTGTTCTGGTATGTTGCCGACTAACCTAACAGAATCCCATCTAGGTCTGTGAGCTAATTAGTTTTTCTCTTTTAATTCTTGTTTTATCCCTTTTCTGGTGGGCTAGTGGTACGAAAATACTCAAAGACACACAGTGAGAATCCACCAGCTGCTCCATATTAGAAGGATGGGTAATCTCCTTCTATGCGATTAACTGCCCCTGAAAATCCACTGGAGGGGTCCGCTATCACTAGATGGTTGTTGCTGTTATGGGCCTGCGACAGATAGCGATCCTATGCACAATAGCTCTGAACCCTGCGCTATCTTGAGCCCGTCTCCGGCACACCTAACCCTATTATCTCAATTACTGTGTCAAGCCATCTCTTTCGGGGTCTTCTCCTCTTGCGCTGTCTTTCCACCTTTCCAAGCACAATGTCCTCCTCTCTTCATCAGAAGAGAGCAAAGAAACACAGAAGTGCGTCAGGGATACGTCTTTTTTTTTTTTTCTTTTCTTTTCCCTGCCTCTTTTTTTTTTTTTTTCAGGGATACGTCTTGAATCCATACTTTTTCAATCTATATACGATATACAGAGCCGAACAGTCGGGACCGTATGTAATTCCTCCATGCTGAGCAGTGTTTATAGTCCATTTTTGAAGAAGACTCCTTCCTACTCTTTCAAATAAATGGATCTCCCAACAAGCATGGAACACCACACAGCACAGACTTGGTGCTTAGGCCTCTCGCAGCCCCAGCTCTCACTTCCTTATTCAGCCTGCAACTACTAGCACAGTCAAATAGACAAAGCATTAAGAAATTTGAAAAGTAGTCTTCCGCATATCCTTCTGCCCAATTTCCCTCCCAGCCTCACTTTTTCCTTCGTAGGACCCGTTCTAAATATTAATACTGTAGAAACCTTTTTTGAAAGAAGTATTGAAAGCTTAATATGCACTTGACAGGCCACTTAAAAAGGATTCTGTAAATTAGAAGGCAGAATCTGGAACTGTGTAATCTTAGGGTATCAGAGAACTGCTATAGAGGCAATTGGGACCGGAGGAGCCGAGATCTTCGGTTTCTCAGGGTATTTCCAAAAGGATCGCCAGCGCCCCGAAGGGGACATCTAGCTGGGGCCGCCTGTGCCAGGACCCGATCTCTCCACGCTAGGGAAGGCGGACCTCGGTGGGGTCTAGACCCCCCGCACCGCGGAGTCCTGCCCCTGGGTGCGCCGAAGGAAGAAACCCTGGGGTCATTCAGCCAGCATTTAGAGCCCACAGGCCGCAGGGGGCACCCAGGAAAGTCCCGCGGAGGCGGGGTCCGCGGCGGGGCGGG